CTAACATTGTTGCAACTGACTTTTTGAACAAGAGAGTATTCTTGTAAGAGCATAACTTCATAGAACATACGTGTGTACAAGTATAGGATGTGAGGTATATATTCCGAATGCTCAAGTCGAGCTCATATCTATTATGGCATGAAGGATATTCATGTCTATCCATAAGTACTGCTTGATATGATGAATCCATACAACAGATACCATTTCCATTACAGTGTGTATTCGTTTACAGTGTGGCGCACTCACTAATGGGAGGGAGTGAGTGCGCTGGGCACGGTTAACTGTCTTCCGCCATAATCGAATCCATCCAGCACGCAATGCTTTCCCTCTCCACGAGAAGTCCGTGGCCTGTAGGAGTCATGGATATATACTAGTATTTAGGAATCCTGACTTACCGCTGTACCAGTGGACTCCCCACCCCCTGGCCATGTGCATTCTCTCCCGCTCCCCCACGGGCCACGTCTGTTCACGACGATGTAAATGATGCAATTATGCCTTTTTTGAGTTGCCTCGCCAAACGCTCTCGGTGCATGGAGACTGTATCTGTGGCCCCTTTCGCTGGTGTTTCAACTTGTTTGAGAATTGGGGGAACTGGAGGCCCGTGTACATAGGTTGTGGTTGGTTGGTGGGTTCAGAGGAGAACAAGGAGAGTTTCCAATCCGCCCTTGCTTCCGTGACATGTAGTTTGTGATTTTTTGATGCATAGATGCACAGTATGAATATGTACTGATCAAATTGCCAGGTTGGGGCTGATGATGGAAAATTGTTCCGTGGTGATGGTGGGTTTTTTTCTTTTTTTTCTTTTTCTTTTCTGCAAGCTATTGTAAGACTTTGTCTGTTTCATGAACTAGGCAGGCTGTCAGTCAAATTCTCCTTGCTCCTTGTAGCACCAATTCCACATCAGACCATCAGCTCTGCCAGGCTCCCTGTGATCGTATGTAACCTCTCCATAGTAGTTATATGAACTAGTTACATGTCCACGCTCTCGAAACCTGTAAAACACCACGAGAAACTTCTTTTTTGCCCACGCAATTATTATCTGGAGTTGATTCCGGGGGTTACACTCAACCCAGGCTGGTCTGCTCGTTGGTGGTTCTTCGGTATATTTTATGTGGAAAGAGATGAGCCCCCTCTAGCTTCGTTTGGATCTCTGGGTCCATGCACTTCATTTCCAAACCCAGCTCCTGGAGTTGGGTCCACGATGGGCCAGGAAGCAATTATTTATTTATTTATTTATTTATTTATTTATTTATTTATTTTCAATTATGCAACGACAGACCCTGAAATCCAATTGGATGGTGAAGTTAATTGTATCGGCTTCAGATAACCAGTTGCTTCCATGTCTGCTGCCGCTTCGACGCATGGTGATAAAAGCTGAAATATCGCCAAGCTGACATAAATGATAGTTGACAAATTGTTTCAAGGTTCCCTGAAAATTGTACGGCGGGGACGTACCATTACAATCCACGTAGGGAGGATAAGTAAAACTAAGAGGAGCTTTCTCATCGCCGCAGTTTAAATCCAGCTCAGAGTGGCAGAAATCGATGATCAACTCTCTTCCCAGCTCAACAACCCAAGAACCATTGGGGCTGCAGAACCTTGAAAAGGGCTCTCTGCATACCTCAATATTCACACGAGACCTCATTCCACGGTCGAGATGTTGCCCCCTCTCCAATTATGGCGTAGCCATAAAGAAGGTTTCATCTCGAACAGTGCTCTTCAAGGAGACCCGGGGCTAGCCCATTTGTGGCATGAGTGTTAAGACCTTCGTTGATCCGGACACGGTATTCCAGGACGAGAAGTTGCTACCGCCATCTGTGCTGCATTATGTGTCGATTTACCAGCAGGGGTCTGTTGGGATTTGTTGCTAGTCGGACAACTCCCTTTGTAAAGCCCATTGGTCGGAGACCTGCGCAGAGATCCCCTACTGTGAGCTTGTGAGGAGGCTTATACCCACTAGTAGTGATGAGAGTGTTGGTGTTGCAGGCTCTCCAGTGGGTATGGAATGACGTGATATATTTCTCAGTGAGTAGTGGAGCAGACAGAGATAGAAGTTCTGATATTGTATACACAGATAGTTCTTCTCGGTTCCTCATGAGTTTGCTTACAAAGCACCTACAGAGATTGATAATTGTTGCATTGCATCCATGGATCGCATGCTGGGGAAACATGTCAAAAGATTTTTACCCACCACTTGTTCGGTAACTACTCAAGCCCAAAAATTTTCCATTCCATCAAGCTCTGCTACTTCGTGCTCCTCCTCTTCCTCCGTACTGCATAATTGTATGTCACCAAAAACTCTCCGGAGCTCACAAAAGAGGGTCCTCCAAGAAAAGAATACATAGTCCACCATACGGAATTCCTCACTTCCAACTTCACAGCGGGGTCTAGTCCCAGCTGCGAGCTAGGAGTAACATGCAAGTTGCTCTACGGCACGGTTCCTATAGCTTTACAAGGAAAATATGTTGGGCACTACCTAGGTAGTTGCCCAGATGGCCCTCTAGCAATCGCACAATGAGAAGATTAACCATCCCACAAAATACGATCCCTAGCAAGCTGTGCGTACGTGACCCAGTGGGGTTTCAATCGGTGGTTAGGGCTCTGTTTATTTTCCCCTGTTGATCTCTAATACAAACACATACAATGTGACAGTCAACGGCTTCTCATTTGACAAGGACCCCATACTCGAGGAGCAAAGCTGCACTGACAATGATATATCGTATTAGACACGATCAATTGCCTTTGTTGCACCCTTCCTCTCCAACATTTCCAAACACGTTCTGTTTGAACTGTTAGACTAGAGCTGCATGGTAGTAAGAGAAATTCGGCCGGCCGACTTGATGGGCCAAGTGAGAGCAATCCGAGCTCCCAGCTAGCTACTTTCGCTTTCGCAGCAACTGGGTCTATCGAATTGGAAACTATAATGTCTAAAGATGGCACAGCTTTTTTAACTATTAAGAAGAACCCCAGCCTACTCCGTAACTTCCACATAATTTGCCGCGATACCTGTCACCTGCCTACCTGTTCTTGCGCGAAAAAGAATCCCAATACGGAGTAATAATGCTTATGATCCAGATTCTCCTCATGTGGCCGATCAACAGCAGAATCCCTCGTGTACGAGACTATGACAGCCTTAGCAGATACTAAGCCCCTAATTGGTCGACATAGCCGCCGATCACAACGGGCGAAAATGGCGG